ATATATATATAAAATTATTATATCGAGTACATTAATTGAGTAGATAATTATTATATTTTTTACTAAATTAATTTTTACTAAATCATTTTACTAAATTGCTTTAATATGAATTATAAATGCTTTATATAATTAAACTGTTTCATAATAATAAATTATAATAATTTTGTTTACTGTAGGCGTGAAAGACATAAAAGTTGTAGGTCGAAATGTATCTTTCGCGGAACTCGGAATGGATTCCATGATGACTGTAGAAGTCAAGCAAATTCTTAGAACGAGAATTTGATATCTTTCTTACTGCGCAGGAATTACGAAATCTTACTTTTGCAAAACTCAATAAATTGTCCTATGTAACTGATAATAATACAGAAGATAACAAAATAATCGATGCGGAAGTGCCGAACGTTATAAAATTATTAGTTGGTATTGTCAAAGATGAAGATTTAATTTCAGAGCCTTGTTTTAGTCTTTTAACTAAAGGGGAAGATACTGCCACTCAAGTTTTTCTTGTACCTGGCATCGACGGATGTGGAACCGTATTTAATCATTTGGCATCAAGTATGAATTATTCGACGACGATTTTACATTATAGCACAAACGATATCGACGCCATAAACGTTATATCAGATACGGTAGATCGTCTCGCAAAAGTAAGTAAACGTATTATCATATAATTTTGTATGTTCTTCATATCAAAATATTTTAATTTATTTAGATTTATTTAGATTTAGAAACTTTATTTTCATTTAATACTCAAAAATATTATAGCATATATTACCGAAATTGAGAGGTGGAAGAGATTTTGTAATAGTTGGATATTCTTTTGGATCTATTATTGCGTTTGAACTAACGAGAAAATTGGAGGCTATGAATTTGAAGGGTCGATTGGTTCTCATTGATGGCACTCCCGAACTAATGCAAACAATGTACAGAGATTTTATATCAAACTCAAACGAAGTAGATCTTCAAACTGTTGTTTTGTCTAATATTTTGGAAATTTATACGGAAAGAATTAGCGACGAGGTATTTCGCATGTCTTTATTTTAATTTATATTTATATTGTTTACTTGCAATATATTTTTTTGCGTATTTTTGGTTTTCTAAATGTGATTGATGAAAGCGATATCTTACTTTTTTATTTCAAAATGAAGTCTATTAATAACAAGAATAAAACAAATTGTCTGTGATTTGACAGATTTTAATGGAATTGAAAAGTTGTAAAAATTGGGAAGAGAGATATAATGCTTTCGCGAAACAATTCTTAGGAATGAATACTTCGCTTTCTCCTACAAATTTAAGAATATTGTGTACATCGGTTTATAAATATTCAGCTGCCATTCGACAATATGATCCTTCCACCTTGCCTCGTATTAAATCTTCTATAATATTATTAAAAGCTACAATGTCGCATACAACAATCGAAGGGGATTATGGTTTGCATAAAGTAATTCTGAAAAGTTTACATTAATTTATTTTTGACAAATGAACATTTTGTATTAATAAAACATTATTATTTTAGATAACTGAAGGTGTTGTTGAAATACATTATATCGAGGGGAGCCACCTGACGATTTTAAGAAATGAGAAAGTACCGGCTGCAATTAATGGAGAGCTGCACATTTAACATTTTAATTCATGTATAATTTAACAGAACATAATTTAAGAGAACATTTTTTTATACATCTGCTGTGATAACAAGAATAAGAGCAGCAATACAGTAATAATGTGTTAGTCTAATTGTATGTAAAAATTCCAAATACAATCAATGTTTTATTATAAGGCTGAAAAAATATTTATTATCTATACAACAAATCCAAAATCAAAGCATAAAGCATTTTTATCATGTCCTGTGCTTTGATCTTAGATTTTTCTGGATAATAAATATTTTTTCACTTTTATAATGTGTACACATCCTATGTACTTTGTAATTTTACAGTTATATTATATAATATTAATTTTAGTGTTACTGTTATTGTTGTTATCACAGCCGATTTATAAACAGAAAGTTTTTTTCTTAAAGATACGTTTAATAAAAAAGTGTTATTATTTTCATACTTTTGGATTTGTAAGGAGTAACTCGATAAGATTTGTGAATCTTTGAGTGTCTATAGAGGTTAAACGAATTATTTTCGAAGATTGTGACAATTATGAATATTAACTTTTTGACCAATATAAACATTGACCAATATAATAAACGTGTTACAATTATGCTGCTTTTTAGAATTATGCGGATTTCTTTATTAAAAATATAACCTTTGAAATTTTTTTGTTACGTGTAATTCTATTATAATATTTATTTTATAAAATTAATATGTTGTGTTACAATATTTTCTTAATTTAGGGAAAGATTGGGAGGAAGTAAGTGCTTTACTCCCCAATCTTTCCTTCAATTAATAAAATATTGTAACAGAAAATATTAATTTTATAAAATAAATATTATAATGGAATTACATATAAGAAAAACTTTAGTTTTCAACTAAAAGTTTATATTTAATCACCATTCAATCATTTTTCACCACTTAGCGTTCTGTGTCAAAGCTCCGATGCCCAAGTAGAACAAAAAATCATATAATAATCAAGATGACGTCAAAATGATGACAAGAACTCATTTTTTGCTCATGATGAAGAATTGATGAAATTATGATTTTGAAATATATTATTTTAAATATCTATATATTTTATATATTGTATATATCTGTGTATATCTGCACATAATAATGTTTTATGTATACACTATATGTATAGTTTACAATTTTTCAATTATGTCTATCACAATTATATTATAAATATATTATTAATTATTGATAATCATAATTATATTATAAATTTTTTCAGTTAATCAATACCTTATTTGAATATATATCTGTTTTATATACAACAAGAAATTATTAGAAGAATAAGATAAGTCTAATCTCTTTTCTGATACTAGAATATTTACGCTATAAAATGCAATAGTTTAATAATTATGCATTAAATATTATTGCATGTTATTGCATTATTGAAATATTTAAAATAATATGATAAGTTCCACAATCATAATTTCATCAATTCTTCGTCATGATCGAAAAATAAGTTTTTTGATCGTTTTTTGGTCATTTTGGCATCATCTTAACTTTTATATGATTTCTTGTTCTATTTGGGTGTCCGCATGAGAGGATCCAGGCTTATACTCATCAGTTCTGGCTTGCACCAGATCAGTTCGGTTCTAGTGCAGCTCTAGTGCGGGAATAGAAAATAAACTCATAGTCAAAGATTCTGCGAACGTTGCGAGCGTGGAACGCAGCCATTATGCTAGGATTTTTGAAACCGGGGCTGAAACCGCGCTGTTTGTGGAGTGCGTTCGCTATTGGCTCGAGTCGACAAGTTGCAACGCGCATGCCGAGCATGTATTCTTCCGTTTCGCGCTTAAAATTGTTGATGTACGAAGCATAGCGAAAGGTGCGTTTGCCAGGCTTGATCGTCATGGATCTGTCCACGAAGTTTGGAAAGCTTTCTATGGTAAATGGTAATCGTTCGCCCTTAAAAATGCCAAACAAGGGGGCGCGAGAAAAGATGCACGTAATTAAGCGCAGTAAGTTTATAATATAAATTAATATATTTTTGCGTTTCGAGTTGATTACGAATGTACGATCTTTTTCCAATTCTTTTTGTGCAATGTGGTGTGATTGTTAGACCTTGCAAAATCATTAAAACTCGACTAATGACGATTAAGTTATTACTATGGACATAAAATATATGTAAATATTATAAATACATTGTATGTCACACACACACACACACACACACACACACACACACACACACACACACACACACGTATATAACATATCAAGTATAAGAAATATTGAAAATAAAATAGGAAATTGATTTAAACGTTATTTTTATTAGATGGACATAAGGAGGATGTTCACTTTGATAAAATCACTTCGAGGATTGCTAAACAATGTTACAACTTAGATATGAATTATGTGGATCCAGTAAGTATTTTTATATAACTTTGTAACATAATAATGTAAAGATATACAAAAAATAGAAATATATAAATAGACTATGCCTATGTGGTAACTTAAAAAGAAGTTTTATAGAGTTGTATGTTAGATTTATATTTTTTTTTAGAGGGATTCATATAAAAATTCTTATATGCCTAAATAAAAGATAATAAATATATTGAGCGATATCAAAGTTTGTATAACATTTAAATTTGTTATTTGCAGTCTGCTGTAGCGGCTCAAGTGATACGTGGTTTATATTCTGGAGTAACTACAGTTATACTAGATAATCTTGCAGCTGAAACTGCAGCTACGATGGCAACTAATCATCCTGATTATGCTATATTAGCTGCAAGAATTGCAGTATCTAACCTACACAAGGAGACCAAAAAGAGCTTTAGTGGTACATTTTACACTAACAATTGAGTTGATTTTTTATTATAAGGTTTTTAATTAATATTAGATTTAAAATTAAAATGATGGTTACAAAGATAGATCTTCTTTGCACTTTACAGAGGTCATGCATGATTTGTATTATGCCAAGAATTCCATCACAAATCAACACACTCCTATAATCAGTGAATATTATTATAATATCATCAAGAACAACGCAGAGCAATTAGATTCTGCTATAATATATGATCGAGACTTTAGTTATAACTATATCGGCTTTAAAACACTTGAAAGAAGCTATTTACTGAAAATTAATGGTAAAATTGTGGAGAGACCTCAGCATATGTTGATGAGAGTTGCTGTCGGTATTCACGAGAATGATATTGACAAAGCCATAGAAACATATAACTTTTTATCAGGACGATACTTTACACATGCTTCACCAACGTTATTCAATGCCTGTACTAACAATCAGCAGATGTCCAGGTAATTTCAAAAGAATTTAATTAACCTGATAATTTTGTTGCATCGTTATCTTAATTAGAATAATTTTCTTGCAGTTGTTTCCTCTTAACCCTTGAGGATGATAGCATAAAAGGTATTTATGGCATGTTAAAAAGATGCTCACTCATTAGCAAATATGCTGGAGGAATAGGATTTAATATACATTGCATTCGTGCCAAAAATGCGGAGTATACGAATACGACTAATGGTTTGGTGTCTGTTTTAAAGTTATATAATGAAATAGCTATTTACGTCGATCAAGGAGGAAACAAAAGACCAGGAGCATTTGCTGTTTATTTGGAACCATGGCACGCTGACATTTTGGATTTTTTAGAACTTAAGAGGAATATTGGTATTTTTTTTCCTTTATTCTTTTCTATTATGAAATATAAATAAGAAGAAAGTTGTCTCATTGATTCACATTGTGTTATATGCTTTTTCATAGGAGATGGAAACATGCGAGCTAGAGATCTATTTTATGGTCTTTGGATACCAGATCTTTTTATGGAACGTGTGTATAATGATGAGATGTGGAGCTTAATGTGTCCGTCTGAATCCCCTGGCTTGGCTGATGTTTGGGGCGACGAATTTAAAGAATTGTATACTAGGTATATACTAATAGCTGCTTATCTATTAATTTAACAAAATTACTTACATTATAGCTTGAATGTTTTTCACAAAACTAACTTAAATAAACATCACATAATTTGTCAAACATTTTTATAGATATGAAAAGGAAGGTCGCTTTAGAAAGCAAGTAGAAGCTAGAACCGTATGGCTTGCCATTCTAAGATCGCAAGTAGAAACTGGAACACCTTATATGCTTTACAAAGATCATTGTAATCGAAAATCGAATCATCAACATCTAGGCACGATCAAATGCAGCAACTTATGCACCGAAATTGTCGAATACTCCAGTCCTGAAGAAGTCGCTGTATGCAACTTGGCTTCTATCGCTGTCAATATGTTCGTTAATGCAGATACCAAAACTTTCGATTTTGATAAACTTAAAACAGTCGCAAAAATCGTCACCCGTAATTTAGATAAAGTCATCGATGTTAATTTTTATCCTATCAAAGAGACGAAGATATCTAATCAAAGACACAGGCCTATTGGTAAGATTGTGACGTTTAATTATTAATCGATTTTTGCTATCAATTTTTTCCAATTCTACGATAAAACCGAGAATTGTATATTTCAGGTATCGGGATACAAGGTTTGGCAGACGCGTTCCTTTTAATGCGATATCCATTCGAGAGTAAAGAGGCGAAGGAACTCAACATAAAAATTTTTGAGACGCTTTATTATGGTGCCTTAGAAGCTAGTTGCGAATTAGCTGCAGAAAAGGGCACTTACAAAACCTATGAAGGTAGTCCAGTCAGCAAAGGTGTAAGTATTTAATGATTTAGTGCGAAATGTTCCATCTACATACTACAATCATATATCAATTTTTTTTCTCAGATTCTTCAATACGATATGTGGAATGTCAAGCCGACAGCTTTATGGAATTGGAATGAATTGAAGGCGAAGATCGCGAAGCACGGCGTAAGAAATTCGCTCTTAATAGCACCAATGCCAACGGCTTCGACGGCACAGATATTAGGGAACAACGAATCTATCGAACCATATACGAGTAATATCTATATAAGGCGCGTATTATCTGGAGAATTTGTCATCATCAATCCGCATTTACTACGAGATTTAACTGCCAGAGGTTTATGGGATAAAGACATGCACAATGAAATACTTGGGAATTTTGGATCTGTTCAAGTAAATACTTTTAAATATCTTAATATTTTTGATGAAATTGTTTTATTATTAATTATAAAGAATGTACATGTATATATGTACTTTACAGAACATTGATCGTATTCCTGACGATCTGAAAGTATTGTATAAGACCGTATGGGAGATACCACAAAAAGTAATTATTGAAATGGCGGCCGATCGGGGAGCTTTCATCGATCAATCGCAATCTTTGAATATTCACATAGGAGTTCCAACGACTGAAAAGCTTTCTTCGATGCATTTCTTCGGTTGGAAAAGTGTAAGTGATATAACTATAACTATTTTATTTATTCGAAATTTTTTTATATTTTGTGTAATCAAATAAATTTTTGAAAATAATTTCACAAGGTAAAGAATACAGTACAAAATCGTATGAGTCGTTTAAAAATATTTTTGTTTTTGTTGTTACAGGGCCTAAAGACTGGCATGTACTATTTGAGAACAAAGCCAGCCGCAAATCCTATACAATTTACAGTGGACAAATCAAAATTACAAAATCGCGATTCCGTATCGAATCCTTCTAGTGTCAGCACACCTACCGATAGCCCCATTCAGTCACCCACTAAAGATGTTGTTAACGATGACGAAAAACGAAACCAATTAACTCAGCAAGCGAGTAAAAACTTGGAAACGATGCTTGCTTGCTCGCGTAAAAATGGAGAAGCATGTACAGCATGTAGCTCTTGAGCGTTTACTATTTTTAAATTTTATTGTATTGAAAATACATAAGGTTTTTATTTTTGTAAATTATACAAAAAGAAATATGTTTTTGGCGTGTATATTCTAAATTTAATTTTTACAATTGTTATGATAATTGTTAAAGGCAATATCCTAAATATAAACTATTAATAAAAATAAAAAATAAGAAAAAAATAAAATCTTGACAATTTTAAATGGCGCGATCTCTTTGCCGATTATGTTTTTCTGATATTTTGTTAATTTTCATAAATTTAAATTTTTAAAATCTCCAAATTTGGGACTCTAATGTCTATTTCTATCAACAGTTATCAATTATAATTTTAATTTAATTTACTCTGTATCTTCTCTTCTAGTTCTTAAAACTAAAAGATAAATTAATTGAAATTATATATGAGACTTTATAAATTTCATATTTGTTTATTGACATCATTTTTGTTGAGGAAGACTCTGTAGTTAAGATGTAATTTAGTTCTAAATTTAATTTTGTATCATTTAACTTGTGCATCTTGCTATGTTTAAAAAATATTTTTATTTTTATTATTTTGAACGATACTTATTTTTTACCTTCATTCATCACCTTATTTATATTTTATTATTTATTTTATACGAGCTGTTTATTTAATTTTTGAAATTAAACTGAGATTAAAGTTAAAGCCAAAAATAAATTATCACTTTATGGAGTGGTTCTTAAAATTTACATTTTTATTCATCGATCCGCAAACGCAAAGTAATTCAATCTTGATATACGATCTCTCGTCATGAACGGGCGATAATCGGATCGAGTGGCGACGCATCAAATGTCACTAGCTAGGAACACGTGGCATCCCTGTATTCGTTGCGCCACAGGCAAGGAGAAGCCAGCCGGCAAGGGGGTGGGGTGGGACGGAGGGGATACGGAGACGACGCAGAACTATATTTATTTTGGTTTGGAAATTAGTCCGCAGGAGTCCCGTGTGCGTGTTGGTGCGGTCGGTACCGTGCGTTTCGCACCGATTTCGGGTGATCAAATTTCGAAGTGCTTGCTTATCGGAGATCAAGAACTGAAAAAAAAAAAAGATGACCCGTAAGTTTAGCCGAGGCATCGCCGAAGTCGGGTCGTCCTCTGATCGCGTCGCGACCACAACTCGACGAGAGAGAGAAAGAGAAAAAGAGAGATAGAGAGAAAGAGTGAGAGAGGGAGACGACGACAACGACGACGACGGGAGAGTCGAGAAAGTTGGCCTCGTAAAATTTTACGGGCGGCTGCCGTTTGTCGTTAACGTCGAGAATAAAGGTCGTCGCGTAACGATCATAAGGATGACCGCGTGCTCTCGCCGAGATTTGTCGCACGCGCGAACGAACGTCCCCGCCGAGTCGCGAAAACGTCGAGGAAGAAAGGAGCACACCGCCGCGGCAGACGATGCGCTCCGAGTATCCTCCTCGAGTATACTCGTTCTGCAGGCTGTTTTCGAAGGAAAGGTCAATATTTTTGGATGATGACGATAACACGCGATAAAGAAAGAAAACAACAAAGGGCAACTCGTCCTGGCCCACTTCTCGAGTCTCGACGGCTTCGCGAGATCGTGAATAATCGAGGATTTTTAAGAGATGGGAGATGGAAAAAAATCGACGTCTACTCTCTTCGATGTTTTCGAAGAGATTACGCGATAGTTTATCCGTCCGCGAGAGAATTTCGCCTTTTTAACCTCGATGACGCGCGCGACGTCGTCAATGGAGGCGCGCCTTCATACCGCAAACGCACGAAAATCATGCCCTCTACTACGATTTTTTTTTTTTTTCGATCTGTGACGGAATCATCGATTTTGACAATCTTCCATTGCGAGAGAGTTAATATGGTGGAAGATGCGCGTCGCATTTTAATCGGCGCCATTTTGCACGAGTGGCAATGTTCGAACGAGGTGGGATGCGAATAAGAATCATTGGATAATCGAAATAATTAAATGAAGCGTTGCCGATCGTGGATCGAACCATTTTTTTCATATCGATTTTCTTTTTTAAATTTTTTGTACAACTATTTTGTATAAGTATTTTATTGTAGCAGTCGAAGGGATTCGACTTGATGCGTGTGCGCATGCGCGAGCAGATAGCGCTTTTTCTATAAACGTCTCGTTCGAATCAAATGGATAAGGATGGAAATACAGATCGAAAAATTGTATTAAAATTTTGGAGACTTTCTAAAAAAAATCTGGAATTTTTTTGCAGGTGGAAATCAACGTGAACTAGCACGAGCCAAGAATTTGAAAAAAACAGTAAAGAAGGCAGCGTCTGAACAAGAAAGTAATAAGGGTCTTTCCTTGGAACAACGTAAAGCACGGTACGCCTTCAGAATAGAATGTCTCTTTTTTTTCTATCTGAAAAAAATTGAAATAATTTTTGATTTAATAATTTTTCTTGCAGCGACGCGGAACGAATGAGAGAAAAACAGCAGAAGAAACAGCAAGGCGAACAGGCAGATAAATCTAAACAGGCAGCGAGATAATTCAACGGACAAAGCGTATAACATTTTTAACGACAACGAACGGCTATATCGCTATCCAATGGCTATGCTAAAAAGATTTACAATTGTAAGGAATACAAGACGCTGTTTAACGCTTTCTCGGAACAGAAAAAGGAATCAGCATGTTTTTGATGTTAGAGAATTTTTCCATTGTCGGCCGTACACGGGTGTGTCGGTGTTATGACATGCCTCAGGACCTAGCCTCGATTATCTTGTTATTTATACATTGCTCACAAAAACAATTATAATCAGTGTGTATAAAACTTGACGTTACCTACACCTATATTCAGTCAAAGAAAACACACGTTTGACTGATTTCTCTAGATATAAGAATATTAAATAATACGATATATTTATAGTACTAATTTCAAATCTGTAAATTCCCAAAGCTTTCGCTTATTTAACATATTATGTAATATATTAAATGTATAACAGGGGAACGATCACTAGACACGCATGTACTACTATCGTTCCCTCTCGCTCGTAATAAACTGTTCAAATTTTAACACTGACGTAATTGTAAATTATCCTATCCTGTAGGAAGCGGCATACCGTTTTATGATTTAATTGATAAGTTGAATGTCAAGTATGTTATATATAAATTGCTGAAGTATAAAAAAGTAAATGGAGATACAATTATTTCCCACATTTTTATTGCACTTTCCCAAAAAGAGTACACTTTCTTAACGTACTAATTTTAATCGCGATTTCATAACTTCGCATTAATCACAAATACTTGGGGATTAACATTGAGTCGAATGAGAATGACGTACGATTTGATAAATGTCACGGTGGAAGACCGAACCTTAATTGCTAATATGGGGAAAGAAAAAAAAAAGAAAAGAATGTATACTATGCTAAATGACGAACGTATTGTCTAGCCTCTAAAGACCAAAACCCTCAAATGAAAGTAGCATTTTCGATTTGCGAAAATGTCGAAATTCAATTCTTTTACTAATTAACTGTATTTCGGATTTAACTAGGCTGTACTTTTTCGCGTTCTATAAGACATCTATAAGCAGGAACGTTTCATCTTTCTTTTTTTTTTTGTTTAGACTCCAAGTTTATAATAATATGCGAGAAACAGCGTGCTATATTGAGCATTTACTTAATTATAATAGTACACTACTAGTATGGGATAGTTCATTTGATGAATTTACATGTGATACTTTAGTATTACGTACGTGACATCGGAAATCCATTTAACGTAAAACGTAAAAAACTATTCCTTCGGATGCATTCGGCTATCAAGTAAAACTAATACATGCACACGCGCTGCTATAGATTATATATTTATATAAAATAGAGACATGTATGATCTTTTTGCCAATTTCTCTTCACCCATACAATTAACTTTACAATGTAGTCAATTTATTTCGCATATTTTTATTAATGACTTAATTTAAGATAATCATAATCAGCTATTCTTTTGTAAGTAAAAAAATTTCTACTAAAATATCTGATCCTGTGTATTAATTTATCTGTGTAAAATTCACAATTGAATTAAAAGAAAAAGTGGTTGGTCTTTATTAAAAATTTAATTACTTTCGGTATAAAATTTAATTAACTTATTAAACTCATTATCATTTAAATTGAATTTCGACTGAATGTCAGAATAATGTCTCAAGTTTTTTATGTGATATTTTAACAATAATACAATTGTCTAAGAATGGGCGGTAAAATGTTGTTTCTATTTCCTTTGTCTTCTTGTTAAATAGTCAATGTTTTTACAAAGTTCTCCGTATACACATGTAATTTTTATGATAATATTATAATCAATATGTTATGGTAAATATTTACTTATATGTCTATTTCGATGATGCAACGTTTCTTCTTGCACATAAACAAATGCGATATTTTCAGGACAGTAATTTCAAAAATTCTGAAGAGCGATTACGTTTAAAATTGCAGCATTACGGAAAAATGCCGACTGAGCTTCTATCTAGTTTGTGTGTGTGTGTGTGTGTGTGTGTGTGTGTGTGTGTGTTTGCGACTTATCATTACAACACTATATTTGTAACAATAGCACCATATTTGTATTGTTCATAAGTAAATTATATATTGCAAGTTGAACAAATTCACGCACACTGCAGTATAATGCTGTAAAGCGTTTATCCGTAATGTTTTGGAAAATTATATAAAAATTGCTTCTCTCTTATGCTAACAAATTATAAAATTACAAGAGAAAAATCTTTTCCTCTTTAAATAAATTTGACAAATCTAATCCAATTATTTTTCGCAACATCCCTTTATCGCTTTATAACTAATTTTCTAATTAAAATATAGCAAATGCTTTGTACTTCAGAATTATTTTCCGTTTAATATGCAATAGGAAAGATGTTCAAATCTCACGAACTTCTTAATTATACATATGGAGATATTGAATATTTAAATTTATATAAGCTATACAATATAGCACAGGAATTAAAAAATTGAGTTAAAAATTAATTGAATTAAAATGTTGTTAAAAATCCTCTCTAGCAGTTTGTACATGTAATGAACTTAAGCAAGTAAAAAAATGTACTTAAAAAGCCAGACCTTTTGCCTTTGAAGAAAATAATTAAGTATAGTGCCTTGAAACATTTTTAAAAAGTGAATGTATATGTATATGTATATACATAAAATGTTTCGAGAACGTTTTTTATTATAGCTCATATAACGCAAAGTATGTTTTACCAAGTGCATTTCCGGCTATTTGCTAATTTCAAATATACATCTTGTATGTCGAGTAAACTAGATCGAATTGTCGTTTATCGGAACGAACGAGTAACTACATCATAATACTTGAAAATCCTATAGGGAAAGTTTTATCGCGCGTAAATTTAACAAAATCGCTTACATACCTAATGCCAATCTACATCTATAAACAATACATCGCGTGGTAATATCTAAACGTGATGAGTTAAAAGTACGGGACGTAGATTTCTTTTGCCATTTATGTATGGAATGTATGAAAATGTTTGTGACGGACCGAGTGAATTTCACAAAACATTGGCGGATCTAAGATATGCTAAAACATCTTGAAGACATCTTTGAGATATCTTTTGGACACGCATGTTACTTGAGAATTGTATTTTCACTCGTTTTTCCAGGATGACATTCTTTAAAAACCTAAGAAAAGACAAAAATCCTCTTTCGCGTAATATCTATGCAAGTATGTCTTTACAATTTTTTCAATGTTTTTAATAAACAAAAGATAAAGGTTGCAAATAAAATAATGTCAATTTCGTTTTTCATCGAAACGAACGAGGGCAGCGATGATTGATTATTAATTTATAAATTTTATAATTTATCCGATTGTTACTTGGACAGTGTGAAAAACAAAAAGAGATCAATTAATTTCTTACATTCGCGTATTTAATTGATCGTTTTGAATTTTTTTTATCGTAATTCTTATCGTAAAGCACGAACGAAGCGTAAAGAAAGTCGTCAAAAGATAAAGAAAGATAGATTCTTTAATAAAATTAACTATGTTGCATGTCTTTGCTGCACGAATCACCGTTTCTTCGACGGAAGAAAAAAAAATGATACATTCTCCATCGTACGATGCCTCAGATTTCGAAATTTCGAGAAACTGACTTGTCGAGGGAGAAGCGAAAAATATTCTGAGGGCTCACACAACTTGCAGACTTCATCTTGGGTTTAAAGATTCCCTAAAGATTCAGAGAGCATATCGTGCAGGTCTGGGCAACGCAATGCGAGTGTAGATGCGACGGATGCGACGGCGGGGGTGGCGGAGGTGGCGGCGGTGGCGGTGGCGGTGGCGGCGGGGGTGGCATGTAAAGCCACCCCGTGCCGGCTGGCCAGACCGCGGACGATGCCGAGGACGTCGGAAGCAGCGCGTTGGTACCGCCTCCGGCATTGACGTGCGACGTCGGTCCACTCTCTACTCACATCACCTAAACAAATTGATAGAAAATATGATTCACGGACACGACATCTCGATTCCGCTGCCTCGAACGTAACTGCACGTACGCAGGCATGAGGCAAGTTATAATTTTTATCGCAGTTATGAATAAATATAGCGTGACGCTCGCAACCGCATTTTGCTGTATATATTTATGCAAAATTGCTACAACGTGATGTCATCGGGTCATATTCCATAAGAGATTTGTAGTTTTGTAGCCTTCTAAATTACGTGAAAAGGTCGGTTTTAATAATAATAATAATAATAATAATAATAATAATAATAATAATAATAATAATAATAATAATAATAATAATTGCTTATCTTTATTGCCAACTGTACAAAATTTTGAAGAGTGAAACTAGAAAGAGATAAACAAAAGAAAAAAGTATATGCAAAGGATAGAGTAAGATAGCAGCAAGATCGCTGCTATAACGCCTACCATTAACGAGAGTACCATAGAAGTACATAAAGCAGGCTCACAACGTTAGCATCACACGTATTCACGTATTATACGATCGTACAACTCACACATGCATACACAGCAATCTTACAATTTTACGCATGCAATCATTTTGCGATTATTAAAGCATGTAAAAATTTGGCTGGATATAGATTTGAAAATAATTTTGTTAATCGAAAATAATTATGTAGAATGCACAAGTTGGTTGCGAAAATATAAAATATAAAAAATATAAAAAATTTTTGCGGTATTGTCATGCTTGAGCGCTTTACATAATTAATTTGATAATCCAATAAAATTATTTACAGGTCAAATCTTTAGATACTTCGACTGTTTTTTTTTTTTTTTTTTCCCCCGAATAGATTCTAGTTTTAAAATATGCGCAATATTAGATGTTTACTAATATTTAATTGATAAAATTGATAATAATAATGTAATAATAACGAATATTAACAATAGGTATGCAGCCGTTGTAAAAATTATTACAAATTACTTTGTGAAAGAATATTTGCGAAAGGATTCCGCGCATTTTGATATTAGTCTCAATTAAAATCATAACTATAAAACGTGAGAAGCCCTTAGTTTGCGAATGAACTCCGGGATCCATAGGAATGAATGGCAAAAAGAAGTCTTAATCCAATTATTCGAGCATCCTCTATTCGTATAGCTCTATTCCGTATGGTATCGGCGTAACGAGTGGTTTCGCGAACGATCGTAATTACGGGTAATAGCGTAAGATTTCAGGCGCAAGAGTTCGACGACTCGAATTACGTTGAGAGTCTGGTTTCGTCACGTAATTAATTGCGAGCGCGCCTGAGAGTACGCGAGGCGCGTACGTTCGGACAATCGATAGAGTATCCCGTAATTTAAATATATATATATATCGGGAAACGTTCGAAATGTATCGATGTAAAAATGTTATAGAATGTCAAGGAATGTCAGGGCGCGTGAAGATCGATGGATACGTCCCCTCGCGTAACGTTTGGCTTGTCACGAGAATCAAAATTCGACCGTACCGCGCGGTACGAATATCGAATAGTGCATTGCATTTCTGTTCTACGCGCACGCGAATAAATTTACGGACTTTCGGTTCGTATTACACTGATATTACGTATAATAATAATGTCTACGGTTACCGGTTAATTAAGCCGGCGCGAGCGTGATTTCGCGTTACGAATTGGGGCAGGGACGAGTACCTGTAATATCTGGCTCGCCTCAAAGGCCGTTCCTGGCAACAGTATAACCGGACTACTGACGTGTCCGCTCTCCACGCAAATCATGTTCGGGAACTCGTCGTCGCCAAAGTCCGGGATGTCGCGTGCCTTCTCCTGCCATGGATTCCAGACGACCGTGTCGGGAAAGTTGTACTTTTGCACGCGCATCTTCCTACCGGAAACGACATTCGTGATGATATGCTCCGGCTGCGTGTTCTGGTAGATCCGGTCGGTCCATTCGCACACCGTGACGACATCCCGGCCTTCTTGGAAGATTTGGTTGTCCCTGGTCTGTGCGCGTGAATAAAATACATGCTTGTATCAGGCATACAGGATTGCGTGCGATTGCGATAATCGCCTCGACAGTATAGTAGTGTATCATCGTATCGCTATCTTTCCAGTCTGATTCATTTCGCTTTTAAATGTAAAGCAATAGATTTTTTTTCAAGCTAATTTTTCATCGAGACATTAATAACTAGTTAGTTATGATTAATTGAAAATAAACGATCCCCCTCCTCTCTCTCTCTCTCTCTCTCTCTTCCGCGCGTCTCGCGGCGCGGAAATTCCAGCGAAATCTTTCTATCGATTTGCATTTGTAAGCTTGTCAGCTTATGTAATCTAGCAGAATACTCTTGTACGTTTTTTTACCTTGTCGACGAACGTGCAGCCGTGCAACCCCGTGATTTGGCATCTCCTAACATCGGGCACCTTGAAATAAGTGTGTAAGAGCAGATTAAAGCTGAAGGTGTCTTCTCTGCTGGGGTTGTACACGCCGATGTTGAAGTGCAGCTCCTTCTCACGCAGTATTAGCCTGTACGTTAGCCTGAACTGCGAGTTCCACAGTGATCGCGTGAATTCGCTATCCATTATCGAGAATATCGCCTCGATGTCCCCGCTGGGCAATCGCTCCGGTGACTTCTCCACGTTCCAACGAATGATCCTGGCGAAGCCGTGGGGTGGTCCGAACGTCCATGCTCCGAATTGTGCTGCCGAATTGAGTGAGATAATGCGTATCGGATCATCCGTATAAATATCGCTGACGCTTTCAGATACTTTTCAATTATGGAATTTCATAGCGAAATTCATTTTCAGCGAGATATTCACGTTTTTTTTTTTTTTTTTTTTTCCATCAGCTATTTCAGTATTTGAAGTTTATTTATTCGAAATTATTTTTTTTTTTTCTTTGATTTTTTTCTTTTCTTCTAATCGCTTCGTTTTGCTATACTTACGAAAGACGAATGGTATGCCGCCCCTAATCGCCTTCTTCCCGTCGAACACAGCTTGCTTACTGAAACAAAAGTCCGGTTGTTGGAGAAAGAGAGAAAAATCGACGATACTTGCGCATTAATAAAAAATATTTGATCACAAACTGCATTATCAGATAATCATATTTTTTTTATCATAATTAATTTATATCGCACGCATTTCACTTTTCAGAATTTTTCATTATTTAATAAGACAAAGTTTATAAAAAAATCGAAGAAATATATTATTTTAAAAACGGCGCGAGAACTTATTTTATTTGTTCACATGTTGGTTTTACGTTGAACAGCGCAGGTATTATTATTATTATTCCCTTCCCGTAACGAAAAAAAAAAAAAAAAAAAAGAGAATCAACGATATTGTCGATAACATCGAAAAATATGCGGACGAATATCTCTTCCTTCTGTTGTCCGTTGTCTGTTAC